TGGGCGGCGCCAGAGCCCGGCGCGTGGTTGTTCAGTCCCAGGCCGGCCCACCATGATGGTCAGCACCACGGCCATGAACACCGCGCTGCTGCAGTGGCAACCCCCCAAGGAGCTCCCCGGGGAGCTGCTGGGCTACCGGCTGCAGTACCGCCGGGCCGACGAGGCAGAGCCCAGCGTCATGGATTTTGGCAAGGACCGACAGCACTTCACTGTCATCGGCCTACACAAGGGAGCCACCTACGTCTTCCAGCTGGCCGCCAAGAACCGGGCTGGCCTAGGAGAGGAGTTCGAGAAGGAGGTCACGACTCCCGAGGACATACCCAGCGGCTTCCCCCAAAACCTGCGAGTGATAGGGCTGACCACCTCCACCACGGAGCTGACCTGGGACCCGCCGGTGCTGGCGGAGAGGAATGGGCGCATCACCAGCTACTCCGTGCTGTACCGTGACATCAACAGCCAGCAGGAGCTGCAGAACCTCACCGCCGACACCCGCCTCACGCTCTCCGGCCTCAAGCCGGACACCACTTACGACATCAAGGTCCGAGCCCGGACCAGCAAAGGCGCCGGCCCACTCAGCCCCAGCATCCAGTCCCGGACCATGCCCGTGGAGCAAGGTGTGTGCTGCGGGCATGTGGCCGCACCTGGGGACCTCTGCTCTCCTTGACCCACTGACCTCTGGTGACTGTGATTCACCAGCCTCTGCTGTGTGACCCTCCAGTCTCTCATGACTGTGACTACTAACCTCTAGCCAACAGGCGCCACGGTTTCAGTGTGCAACCCTTAACCTCTGCTCTCCTTAACCTACCGATCTCTGCTGTGCGACTCCAATCTCTCATGACCTTGACCCGCTGATCTCTTTTGCATCACCATGCTTGGGTGTGGGACACTAATCTCTCAAGGCCCTGACCCACTGACTTCTAGTGAACTTGCTCCACTGTGCTCTGGTGTGGGGTCACAGGCTGCTCATGACCAAATCCCACTGACATCTGGTCACTGACCAGCACCTCTGGAGATCCCGACCGTGGGTCCTGTGGCATCTGCCCAGCTCGGTACTCCCTGTGAAGAGGAGTTTGGGCTGAGAGCTGAGCTGTGTGATTGATTGGAAGCTGGCTAGGAGTGGGGTACCTGGCCTCTGCAGCCATTCCTGACCCCCAGCCCTGACCGGCACCTGCTCCCGGCAGGGAACCGTTCTCCCCAGCCCAGTTACATGGCCAGAGCTGACGGTCCCCTCCCCCCGCCGTTGTGTTCCACAGTGTTTGCCAAGAACTTCCGCGTGGCGGCCGCGATGAAGACGTCTGTGCTGCTCAGCTGGGAGGTCCCCGACTCCTACAAGTCAGCTGTACCCTTCAAGGTGGGTGAGGGCCCTGCCGGGGGCTGTTCCTCCAGTCCCACGTGTGGGCGTTGGTGCCGCAGCTTCCCGGCTGGGCACGCACACCTGCCCCGCCCCGTGGGCCCATGATGGGGAGGTTCACCTCTGCGCACTGCCTGTCCCTCTCCCCGCCAGATTCTGTACAACGGGCAGAGTGTGGAGGTGGACGGGCACTCCATGCGGAAGCTGATCGCAGACCTGCAGCCAAACACAGAGTACTCGTTTGTGCTCATGAGCCGTGGCAGCAGCGCCGGGGGCCTGCAGCACCTCGTGTCCATCCGCACGGCCCCGGACCTCCTGCCGCACAAGCCGTTGCCCGCCTCCGCCTATGTAGAGGACGGTCGCTTCACCCTCTCCATGCCCCACGTGCAGGACCCCTCCCTCATCAGGTGTGCAGATAAGGCCGCGCGGGGGAGAGGCAGGGCCGGGGCCGCGAGCATGGATGACGACAGCCCTGATTCCCACTCTGCCCGCCCAGGTGGTTCTACATCGTGGTGGTACCCGTGGACCGTGTGGGCGGGAGCATGCTGGCCCCGAGATGGAGCACCCCCGAGGAGCTAGAGCTGGACGAGGTGCCCGCGGATGGGATGGGGCACCACTCGTGACAGCCCCCATTGCACTGGTTGGCTGCAGCCCCAGGGACACCCCCAAATTGGAATCTGTCTGGCTGCTCTGGCTGACAGCCTGGGCCTCTCTGGGACTCTGAAGCGGCCCCCTGGGAGTTCTCAGGAAACTCCTAGAAGGCTTACAGAGACTCCCTGGAGGGTTTTGCTGAGAATCCCCCAGGACAGGAGGAAGCAGAGACCACTCTGCAGGTCTAGAGGCTCCTGAGCCCTAGAGACTTGGGGCAGTCCCGTGGGGCTGGAGTAGAACCCTCAGCATATTGGGAATTCCCTATCCTGCTCTCACAGATATGTGGAGCCAGCCCTCTCTGGTTGGTGGGGGTAGGGGGGGTGGGCAAGTGGCCCAGAGGCCCTCTTCTAACTAGGGTGGGGGGTGCGTGGGGGGGGTGGCATTGCTGTGTGCTGGTGTGTGGCGTTATTCCGCAAGGACAGTGGACCAGGCCAGGCTCAGGCCCCTTACACAGAGGGTGAGCCTTGGTCTCAGTCCAGGGAGAAGGCATCTGAGGCCACAGGTCCAGCGGCACATGGTCTGAGGTCGGACGTGACTCCTGTGCTCTGCTCTGTCAGCTTCTGGAGGCCATCGAGCAGGGCGGTGGGGAGCGGCGACGTCGGCGGCAGGCAGAGCGGCTGAAGCCCTACGTGGCTGCTCAGGTGGACGTGCTCCCCGAGACCTTCACCCTGGGGGACAAGAAGAGCTACCGGGGCTTCTACAACCGGCCCCTGTCTCCGGACCTGAGCTATCAGTGCTTTGTGCTCGCCTCCCTGAAGGAACCCATGGACCAGGTCTGCCTTAGCCGCCTGGGCTCTCAGCAGCCCGAGAGTGGGCCGATCCCAGACCTAGGGCTGCCCCAGAGACCCCAGACCTGCACTAGGTTATCTGGAAAGACATCAGCCCCAAGGACCCAGGAGGCCAGACCTGATCCAGCTCTAGAGACTTAGTCAGCTGGCCAGGCTCAGGTCAGCCACTTAGCAGCCAGCCCAGCGAGCCCAGCGTAGCCCAGCCCCAGAGCCCTTCCTCCGGGTTTGGTGGGCAGAGGGTGGGGGATGTCACCTGAGCTCATCACCCGTTCTGTTCCTCCACTGGGCCACAGAAGCGCTATGCCTCCAGCCCCTACTCCGATGAGATCGTGGTCCAGGTGACACCAGCCCAGCAGCAGGAGGAGCCTGAGATGCTGTGGGTGACAGGCCCCGTCCTGGCGGTCATCCTCATCATCCTCATTGTCATCGCCATCCTCCTGTTCAAGAGGTGAGTGCTGCACTCAGGGCTCCGGGGGGACAGCCACCTTCCCCTGGGCTCGGAGGTCCTTTCTGGCATGGGTCCTGCAGGTGCGGGGCAGCCGCAGCGGCCTGCATCCCAGCTCCTGGGCTCAGTGGGAAGCCCGGAACAGCGGAAGCAGTAACCTGGGTGTGTCGAGGAGCCAAAGCTTCACAGAGGGCTGGTTCACTTGCATCCCTGGGCACGTCTATCCATCTGTCTCTCTGTTTCGGTGGATGTGAGCATGTCTGTCTTTAAGCTTCAGGACACTGCCCTCCCTGGTCTCCTACCTTCAGCACTCGCTCTGCCACCATCCTGAGGTGATTCCCCAGCCTGGCTCTCCCACTTAGGCCTCGAGAGGTCCGGACCCAGCGGCAGGCCCACACGTCCATGGACATTCACTTGGCACACGTTGATTGATCTCCTGGGGTAACCACAGCACCCACAGCTGTCCCAGACTCAGTGTGTCTCGAACCTTCTCCTTAACCTTCTTGCCCTGCAGTCCCTATCACAAGGGACCGGTCCCTCCACCTAGTTAGCAGCCGGAAACCTGGGTGCCAGCCTCACCCCCCTCTCCCCTGTTACTCCGCCCGGTCCCCTGCGACTTCTGTCCTGAGGATAGCTACATTTGCTCCTCCTCTCCCCGGAGGCTCCCCCCAAGGCAACGTGTGCGGGCATAGCTGGGCACCTGGCACACAGTGCTCCTCGGCCCTCTCTCTCGGGTGGTAGTAGCCACCTACTCTTGGAGCCGCCCCCTCTCTCCACGTGCCAGCCTGAAAGGTACTCCCCAGAGATTTGTCACCCTCAGTTTAAAACTTTTTAGTGGCTCCCAAAATGAAACACTGGTGACCTCTGTCACCTGACGATCAAACACCTGGCTAGTCTGGCCCCTCCTGCCATTCCCAGCATCGTCACTGAACTACTGCAGTCCCCCCGCCGGCCAGGGCTACGCCCCCTCCACACTGCAGCTGTCCCGCTCAGGCCCACCCAGCGGCTGCCGTTGCATCTTTCAAGACTCCCCTCCAGGGGCACCTGGCTGGCTCGATCAGCAGAGTATGCAGCTCTTGATCTTGGGGTTGTGAGTTCAAGCCCCTAGAACTTAATTTAAAAAAAGAAAAAAAGACTCCCTTCCAGACTCTGGTACCCACGAGACTCTCCTGGGTCCCCACGTCTTCCCCACATTGTCCCCCATCTGCCCCAGTGGGCACATCCCAAGGCCTGTGTTTCTAGCAGCCACCACACTGCCGAGCCCATAGGGGATGTTCGTGAATACTTGCAGCGAACCCACGTTGGTCTGTATGTCTGAACTCGTCTCCACATAGCAGTTCTTGCTCCATGCTCCATTTCTCCCCTGGCCCTGACCTGAACCGAGGGCCTCCTTCTTGAAGAGTTCATTCCTTCCTCCCAGGGTGAATAAGGCACAGGCTTTCCTGGTCCAGGGCATAGAGACCAGGGGGCGGCCCGGGGAGTGTCCCACACACCCACTCATCCTCCTTCCCACCCCATCTGGGTCCTGAGGTCTGTCAGGAGAGCCAACCCCTGCCTGTGAGTGCCACGTAACTGCCATAAAGAGGTCCCTCAGCGTCCCCCTTGTCGTAAGAGGGCCTGAATGCTTGGCAGAAACAATGACCATTCCTTTCTTCTGTCCTTGCCTGTCTTTCGGGACCTAGTAAACAAGAAAGGTAGGAGTCATTCCTTCTCTCTTCACACACCTCCCCCTTCACATCTTACCCCTGTGCACATTTCGGGCCCAGCAGGGAGGGGCGGGGCTTTGACCAGAAGCCTCCTGGCCTCTGCTTGTCTGGTCAGCTCAGCAGGCTCCAGGGTGGGCTCTGTGACTCTCTCGACTCATACCCTGCACAGGGGACGCCCCTTCCCCAGGGCGCAAGCATAGTGCAGACCTCACTGCCCTCCCTGAGTGCACAGACTGACTCCGAGCTCCCCAGAGCCTTCTACCAGGCTCTGGTCCTCTAAGATGACCTAAGCCCTGCAGGAGACGTGTGTGCAAAGAGCACTGGCTGCAAGGCAGTGGGAGGTGTGTGTTTTTACACACTTGTGCACACTTACGCAAACACCTGTGTCCACATAGCAGGAGCGGCTCCTGGATGCTCGTCTGCAGCTAGACCCCATAGTCTGTCTCTGACCCTGTCCTTCTAGACAGGGGAGCTGAGGCCAGTGAGGGAGGACTCTGCCCAGCTAGGGTGACGCCTTCCCCGGCCCTCCCCTGCCGCTCTGGACATTGACCCTGATACTGAGAGACAGACAACTGGGGCCCGGCTCTCTGTGATGTTTGCGTAGCTTGTGTGTCGTTTGCATGTTTATTCCTGGTGGCTTCTGCTGCCTCAGCTGTGGCGGCCTTGGGGACAGCAGCCACTGCCCAGCAGTGACCTGCCCTCTGTTGGAAGGCACCACCAGCCTTTGCAACCCCTTCCCCCCTTGCTGCACTGGCCTTCCGTCCGTCCCCCAGTCCTGCTGCGTCCCCACCCGCCCCACCCTGTGTTCTCCGTGTTAAACCGCTCTGCCACTGACCCCCCTGTGCTCAGAGGCCCCAGGATGGGGTGGGGCAGCGGGAGGGACCGAGCCGTACACACAGGGTCTCTGCCACAGCCAGCCACGCCTCCCGTCTCTGTCCTCTGCCTGGACCTCAAGTTCTCACCAGCTGCCCTTCTGCCCTTCCAGGAAGAGGACCCACTCCCCATCGTCCAAGGATGAGCAGTCAGTCGGGCTGAAGGACTCCTTGCTGGCCCATTCCTCTGACCCCGTGGAGATGCGGAGGCTCAACTACCAGACGCCAGGTAGGGTGGCTCCCCAGCCCACCTGCCCCAGCCCAGGCCTGCAGGTCCTGGAGTCTCTACCAAGAGCCCATGGCCTTGTGCCCCCATTTCCTACTCCTGTTTCTTCCTGCTGCCCGCTCCCTGTGCCCTGTGACAGAAGCTCCAATATGCAACAGCTGCACGGGAGCCCGGGAGCCCCAGAGCCTCTTGGGGGAGGCCCAGCTGCTTAGGCCCTGCCTCGTCTTGGGTCAAGGCCTCCGAATATGAGCTAAGGACCCTCACAGAGCCCACATCCCAGCCACAGGGTGGCCAGCGTCTGCACCTGCATTTTGTCCCTTCCGCACTGAAGAGGGGTCTGTTGGTGGGAAATGCCCCATTAGACACTTGTGGTGGGATAGGGTGCCCAGACTTAATTGTGTGAGCACAGGGACCCCACACAGAGCACTATACCTGCCCTTCCTTCTCCGGCCACTCTCCCATGGTTCTCTGGCTGTCCATTCTTCCTAAAATGTCACTCCTCCCCTCCCCCCGCCCCATGCCCCAGGAGACACAGCTCAGTCTGCTCCCCGAGGTGAGGTCTTCCAGCCCACCTCAGCCCCCACACAGGCCTGGGGGTCTCCCCTGGCTTCCAGAATCTCTCTGCTCCTTCCACAATGACACCTCTCACCCTGGGCGAGAATGGCCTCAGTGACAATCCAAGTTCTGTGGAGCCAAGAACTGTGTCTTATTTATCACCATCCCTTGTACTATGCACGCAGTGGGCTCTAAGGGGGTACCTGTGAGATGGACACACAGACAACTGAGTTGAGTGAATTAATTAACATACACACAGGACTTACGTATACGTGAGCTAGTTAAGTTAGTGCATGTTAAGTGACTGCAAAACTTAATGGCTTAAAACAACAACAGGTATGTGTTACCCCTTACTGTTTTTGTGGATTAAAAATTCAGACAGGAGTATAGCAGGAAAAGCTTGTCTCTATTTCAGAATGTCTGGGCCCTCATCTGGAAGTCTGAGAGCTAGAATCATTTATTTATTTATTTATTTATTAAAGATCTTATTTATTCATTTGAGATAGAGAGATACAGAGAGAGAACATGAGCAGAGGGAGAGGCAGAAGCAGACTCCCCGCTGAGCCGGGAGCCCGACGCGGGGCTCCATCCCAGGACCCTGAGATCATGACCTGAGCTGAAGGCAGAAACTTACCCAACTGAGCCACCCAGGCGCCCCGAGAGCTAGAATCATTTAAAGCAGAGATCAGCAAACTTTGGCTCATGGCCAAATATGGCCCACCACCTGTTTTTGCAAATAAAGCTTTATTAGAATATAGCTATGTCTATTCATTTGTATATTATCTGTGGCTACTTCCACACTACAAAGGCAAAGTTAACTAGCATCTACCATATGTCTACAAAGCCAAGAATATTCGTTATCTGGTCTTTATGGAAAAGTTTCCTGTCCCCTGAATTCTGAGGACTCATTCGTTGATGCTAGAGTCAGCTATGAGCCCACCTGGGGTTGTCAGCTTGTGACGGCCACATGAGGCCTCTTCACCTGGCCTGGGCTCCCTCACAGCACAGTGCCTGGGGTCCAAAGGCATGCATCCTGACAGCAAGTGCACTGGGCCACCTAGCAGGCTGTTGCAACCCAGCACGATCGTATCTGTGAGGAATCAGCTGTCTAGGCTGCTGGGGGCCTAGAGGGCAGAGAAGCCTCCGACGAGAGGGGATGCCAAGCCATGTGGGCATGAGTCAGGCAAACGGGGAGATGGGAGAGGGCTCCCTCCAGTGGAAACAGCACTGCGGAAGCAGCCCACAGGCACTGGGTATCCTGCAGCGTTGGAGTTGGGGTACCGAGAGCCCACAGATGAGAGTGGAGGGTAGGCAGAGGTCCACCACAGAGGAACCTGAGTGCCAGGCTAAGGGGTTTGGACTTCATCATGAGGATACCAGGGAAGCATTAAAAGTTTTCAGCAGGGCAGGGTGCTTGGGTGGCTCAGTCAGTTGAGCATCTGCCTTCGGCTCAGGTCATGATCCCAGGGATCCCCTGGATCAAGTCCCACGTGGGGCTCCCTGCTCAGCAGGGGGGGTGTTGCTCCCTCTCCCTCTGCTGCTCCCCCTGCTCCTTCTCTCACTCTCTCAAATAAATAAAATCTTTTAGAAAGTTTTCAGCAGGGGAGCGACAGGGTCAGAATTGTGATTTGGAGATCTCGCGCTGGCTGCTGTGTGGAAGTCAGATTGGAGGGGAGAAATTGGGAGACTAGAAAGCCAGGGAGTGAGTGAAAGGTGGCGAGGACTTGGATGAGGAGTGTGGCTGTGGGGGTGGAGGGCAGTCTCCGGCAGTGTGAGGAGGCCGCAGGGCTTGGGCTTATGGCTGAGCAATGGGCAGGGGGGTTCCAGGCAGCACCCGGGTCTGCGGGTCTGTACCTCCTCACTGCCACCCGCCTGAAACTACGGACGTGGGAGATGAGCAGCATGTGGTAGTCAAAGCCAGAGTACAGAACGGGGGGCAGCCAAGAAGGAGGTGAAATGTTGAGGAAGGCTGAATGAAGAGTATCCAGGGAGATCAAGAAGGAGCGGCCAGAGAGGAAGAGTATGGGAAGGGTGGGGCGTCCCTGAAGCCAAGGCCGGGCAGGAATGGCTGTGTACCCAGAGGATCGTTGGCTTTGGCAGTGGCGACTGTGGAGAGAGCATGGTGGCCGAGTCCTGGGGGCAGAAGCATCTCGGTGGGTTGAGGGGCGGTGAGTGGGGAGTGAGCAGGTGGAGAAACCCCATTCAGAGGCCAGGGTGTGAGGGATAGGATGGGCAGGACCACAGCAAGAGAGGAGAGGGGTATGGGGTTGGAAAAGGATTTTTCTTCTTACCAATATGGAAATTGTTTACAGCTGGTGGTCCTTCAAGTGAGCATTTGAGATGCAGGGGTGGCGATGCTCGCCTGTGGGGCAAGAACCCAGAAGCCAGCTCTAGACCCTGGCCTGGGTGTGGGGGTGTGACGTGGCCCAGAGGAACAGTGTGGGGATGCTTTCCTGAGCTCTAGGCCCGAAGAGGATGGGAGTTGGGGGGAGCTGGTGCAAGGGAACGTGCTGCTGGAGCTCTGGACTGGTGGCCCCGGTTTTCTCCACGAAGAGGAGAAAGTGGTTAGAGCATCAGGGAAGGTGTGGCCTGGGTGTGGGCACTAAACAGGCATGCCTGGGAGGATTGCTGAGCCGCTGAGGGCCCAGGGTTGGCTGCCGGGGCTGGAGGGAAATCACAGGGGTCTGAGAGGAAAGGAGCGATGAAGAGGGGGTGCACAGGTGGGGTAAAGGTCAAGTGCAGAGGGATGGGGGTGTCCCGAAGCGGCCAGCCATGAGTCACCAGAGATGCAGAGCTCAAGGAATAGAGCTTGCCAGTGGGGAGAGGCATCCCCGGACACGGTGGTCCCCGGACTGTTGAGACAACCTGGGACCAGGAGGGACGTGGGGAGGGATCCGGGGCATGGTGAGTTTTCTTCCTATTTTTTTTAGTAAGGCAAGCTTTTTTTTTTTTTTTTTCTCCTATAATTTAATCTTTATTCTGAAAATTCTTCAAACCCACAGAAAATACAGTCCGTCATCTGCGTATCCTTGTGCAGACTGACCCTGTCGTTTCTGGCCATACGTGCCCCATCTCTCTATGTGAAGGCACACTCCCTTTTCGCCTAATCATCTGAAAATAGCCAAGGTCAAATTTTGATACCAGAGGGGATGAGGGTTGGTTCGGATCTAGAATTTGGTCTTAAAAAGAGGCTCCCCAAGCCTGCCCAGGGGGTTGGGAGCGCTCTGCTCCGGGTGGGAGATGGGCCTGCGTTCCTCAGGAGGGGGCGATCTGGGGGCCCTGTGGTGGGGCCACCGCTCCCGCTCCGTCCCTCCACGTGTCCCCTGAACTGGAGAAGGTTGATGGGCTTTCTTCTCTTGCCCCGCTATTTTTTGTTTTCTTTCTCTGCAGGTTCCAGTGTCCCCAGTTGCCCGAATATCTCAAGTTAGTTTTCCGAGTTCGGGGGCTACTCTGGCTTCTGTGTCTGTTTCCTCCAACTTTTTCTCACCCCATTGCCTCCCTTCTTTCTCAACTCTTCTTTCCCTTCTCTCCGCTCTCCTCCCCTCCTCCACCCTCCTCTCCCCACAACTTCCTCCAGTCCTGTTTTCCCTCCCGCTGGCCGCTGCCCTGTCTCTCTGCCCCTGTCGCCTCCAGTCCCCATCCGACACCCTGTCGGGTGGCTCTCCTGTCTCCTGTCTCCCCATCTCCCTCCTTATCTCTGCTTCTCTCTCTCTGGGTTCTTCCGTGTCACTCTGCCATGTCCACTCCATCCACGCGCTCGGTGTAGAGACCACGTCACTGAGTCTCCCACGGTGACTGGCGCCAGTGAGGGGCAGGAGGGCTGCCCACAGGCAGGGCCTGTGGGCCGGGTGTGCAGCTACCCCCAACCTGGGTTTCCAGCCCCAGCCCGGGAGGAAGGAAGCCTGGTTTCCCTCTTGAGAACCCGCCAGGCGGGGCCCTGGTGCCCCCACCCCCCACGCTCACACGTGCTCACGCACACACGCTGCCTCTGTCCTCTCCTGCCCTCCGGCCGCTGTGTGCCCCACCATCCCTGTCGCCGCATGTGCTGCTGTCCACCAGTGCCGAGTGCTCCATGGTCACACGTGTTCACATGTGCGCATCACATGCATCGGGGCTGTCTCCACCACCCGGCGCTGGCCTCGCCCTGACTCCGCCTTGATGTGCCCCCTCCCCTAGGTATGCGAGACCACCCGCCCATCCCCATCACCGACCTGGCAGACAACATCGAGCGCCTCAAAGCCAACGACGGCCTCAAGTTCTCCCAGGAGTATGAGGTGAGACGTCCTTACCCCTGCCATGCGCCTGGCCTGGGCCCCAGCTGTGGGGGGGGGCTCCAGGCTGTGGCGAGTGGGGAACTCCGCTCCTCAGGGCAGAGGCCTGGCAGAGGCCCTTTCAAGCACCCCATGTCTGAACACTCAGACACGTGCCCACATGCTAACAGAAGCAGACAAAAGGTCGCCCCTACACACACTTGGATCAGTAGGAACAGCTCATTTATCAAGAGGTAACCGCAGGCGAGACCAGGCTAGGCCATTTGCATGCGTCCCCTCCTTCTGTCCTCCTCGCAGTATGAAATGGTACGTTTATTAGCCCATCTTACAGATGAAGAAACTGAGGCTTGGAGAAGGGAAGTGACTTGCCCAAGGTTAAATAGCTGGTGCGTAGTGGAGCGGAAGTCAGACTCAGGCCTGCCTGACAGCCTGTGGCCTGCACATGTATGCCTTCCCATGCGATCTCAGAGCGACACGGGTCACAGAGCGGGGGAATCGGGGGCCTCCAGGCTCGCTGCTCAGGCTGCACAAACCTTCCTGCTCACAGCCCTCCGTGCGCTCTCTTCACTCTGGTCTTGACTCCGACCTGCCCCCTGCTGGGGGCTCCAACGTCCTGGCTCCAGGGGTCTGAGGGCTTGCAGGCGGCCCAGCTAGGGAGGGCTCTGCTGGAGAAGGAGGTGATAAAGGAGAGCCCCTCCTCCTCTAAGGAGCACACCCAGAGGTGGTGTTCTGCCTCGGCTCCTTTCCTGCTGCTGCCCCTGCCCCCAGCCCAGGCCTGGCCCAGGACTCGCCCTCAATCCATAATGGATGCACAGGTGACTGGTGGGCTGGCGCAGCCCAGCCTGTGAGTCTGCCCCCTCTAGTCAGATGTCCACCGTCAGCTGTGTGTGGTACCCTGGGGTCCCAGGATTCCCCTTCCGAGGGCTGTGGGCCAGGTAGGTTCCGAGGGCTGAGGGCCAGGTAGGTTCCGAGGGCTGAGGGCCAGGTTTCTGCAGAGGAAATTGAGCTTGGCCGCCAAACTGATGAACATGCCTGCTGTGAGGAAAGCATGTCACCTCCAGCTGTAGAGCACCCCCGGGGGCCTGCTTTGCAGTAAGGCCCTGCTGTGGAGGTAACAAAGTTGGTGAATTATGCTCCCTGCTTTCACTTCTCTCACTGGCCCGGAGCGCCTTCTGTGCTCTCTGCCCACACCCATCCAGTCCCCCATCCCACGCCTGCCCTTCCTTCCACGAGACTCTGCACCTCGCTGTCCAGGCTCACGGTGCTCCCCCTCTCACCTTCTGCCCACTTCTGTCATCCAGTGTGAGCTTTCCCTCCTCCAAGAAGCCTTCTCTGCCTGCCCGGGCCTGCTGTGGGCTTTCCCTCAGCCAGGGTCCCATAGCTCTGTCTCCTTCAACGGTCAGTCAGTCGTCACACGTGCTCAGTGCTGGGGATGTGGAGACGTCAGGCAGCTCAGGCAGTGGGGAGGCCAGCTCAGACAGATAACCGACTGAGTACGACAGTTGCGCTCGTATTAAACATGACAAAATGTGCGGAGAAAGGCCGACAGCACCAAGGCAGGCTGAGGGGCGGGGTGTGCTGCAGAGCCTGCTGTCCTGTGGAGAGTTAACAGGCTGGCGCCCAAACACGGAGGGCATCGTGTGCTCTGCTGAGAACTTGGGGTTATATCCTTCTGTAAAACGGGGATGATAATAGAGCCCGCTTCATGGGAGGATGAGGGGAGGAAACATGCGAAGTGCTTAGAACAGTGCCAAGCACACAGCGGGCTCTCACTGAGACTCCACTATCATGATCTGTGGCCATAAGGAGCCGTGGGGGGCATTGAAGCAGGAGAATGATGATCAGATCTGCACTTTCTGAGGGTTGTTCTGGCTACAGGACAGAGAAGGTCAGAGTGGGGCGAAAGCGAAGAGACAGGGAGATGCCCAAGTCCGAGTTGGGGCGGTCAGGCTGAGAGGGTGGGGAAGCACGAGGACATGGCGACTGAGGAAACAGGAGCATAGAGGCGTTTTTGAGGATGACTTGAGGGTTCTGGCTGGGGTTTGGGGGTAAACGGGTGAAGGTGCCTTTGACCGAGACGGTGTTCCAGTGGCAGAGCCGGGTGTGGGGGGAAGCCGATGATCTCTGCTTAGCAAGGGTTGAGATTGCAGGGCCCGTGGGGCCCCCCAGGTGGGGTTGCCCAGGAGGCTGCTGCCCATTCAGCTTGGGAGCTCAGGGGGGCCGGGCTGCGGCTGGGGTCGCGGGCAGCTCCAGCAGGTGAGTGCAAGACCCTACGAGCAAATGAGGGCCCCAGCAAGGTTGTAGTGCAAGGAAGGCCCAGGAATGAACCCCGGAGGAGTGCTGGCCCTGCCCGCAGGAAGGGCAGGCGGAAGGAGAGGAGACAGAGAGGGAACGGCCAGGGAGGTAGGAGGAGACCTGGACAGGGTGATGCAGCAGGTGCCCAGAAGCCGCAGCGGTGTCGGGTACAGCATGACCCGGGGAGCCATGGCTCCATCTTGGTCTGTACTCATTTCATGAGTTGGGGGCAGGGCTGGAGGGACTGTCCCCTACCCCCATCCGACCCCGACCGCTCTGCTGGGCAAGGGGATTTGGTGCCATGGTCAGAAGGGCCCCTGGTCCATGTGGGCACCACCTGGCAGCCCAGGTCTTGGGGGGAGTAGGGAGACCCCAGCTCTTTGCTTGCTGTATCTGCCTCCTCCATTTCCTATAGTCCATTGACCCTGGACAGCAGTTCACATGGGAGAATTCCAACCTAGAGGTGAACAAGCCCAAGAACCGCTACGCAAATGTCATTGCCTACGACCACTCCCGAGTCATCCTTACCTCCATCGACGGTGAGCCGAGCGCAGCGCCCCCTCCCGCCCCCTTGCTGGCGGGGGCAACACTTCATCCCAGGAGCCCCAGGGGTGTGCCGAGGTATGGTGGGCTGGGCAGGGGCTCGGGGATAATGCTCTCCTGTGCCCCTTCCTGTTCCCAGCTGTCCCAGGGAGTGACTACATCAATGCCAACTACATCGACGGCTACCGCAAGCAGAATGCCTACATTGCCACGCAGGGCCCTCTGCCTGAGACCATGGGCGATTTCTGGCGGATGGTGTGGGAACAGCGCACAGCTACTGTGGTCATGATGACACGGCTGGAGGAGAAGTCCCGGGTAGGACCTTGCGGGGGCCTTCCCGCCAGGAGGTGGGGTGGGAGAAACTCAGGCACCAAATGACTTCCAGGCACCTTTCCCTGTCTCTGTCAAAAGTTCCCCAAGGGACGCATCAAGTGCTCTTGTCTTCTTGGGGTGTTCTCATGCTCCCCAGCTGCTGGGTATTCCTGGGATGTGGCCCGTTCCCTAGACGCTGGCACATTCCTCGGATATTAATATGTTGTACCAGATGTTGTCATTTTCCAGGAATGTTAATATGTTCCCCAGTTGCTAGCATGTTCCCGGGATGTTCACGTGTTCCCCAGATGCTGGAGTGTTCCTGGGGCATTAACACATCTCCTGAGTTAATTAGTGGAAAGAGCTGCTGTTATCTGCTTTCGCACTGCAAAGCATCGACTGGAACGTAAAATTTACAGAGCTTGAAAATGGCGCATAAACGTTATGGGTAAATTTGGCAGAAAATGTGCCTGGTGTGATCTGGTCATGAATAAATAATTTTCAATTACGGCCCTCGTTCTCCCAGCTGGGGCAGGAACGGCAACGTAGCAGGAGAACCTGATGTGGTTTGGTGAGGGGGGTGGCATCACAGGTCTGAGAGTTCAGGGCTGGGGGCCTTGCAGCCAGGTCAGCTAGACCTCCTGCCCTTCTGCCCCAGGGCCCCCACCTATCTGAGCCTTTGGGTACCTCTAAGCACCCTTGCACCTGCCCCACTTGTCGCTCTGTAGGTGAAGTGTGACCAGTACTGGCCGGCCCGGGGCACTGAGACGTACGGCCTCATTCAGGTGACCCTGCTGGACACAGTGGAGCTGGCCACCTACACCGTGCGCACCTTCGCACTCCACAAGGTATGGCCCTGCCCTGTCCGGAAGTGGTCTGAGCACGGTGTCCTGGGGTTGGGTAAGCGAGAACTTGGTGCCGGAAGTGGGGGCTCAGAGGCGTGTGAGCGCCCTGGGGCAGCCGGAGCCACGGGTGGGATGACCAGAAACAGCGCCTCAAGCTCCTTCAGGCCGCCTCCTTGGCTTCTGAGTCCTGTCAGAGGTCCTGTCCACAGTCTATGGCAGACATGCTCACCCCGTCCCATCGTGTCTCCGTACTCTTCTCCCCAGAGTGGCTCCAGTGAGAAGCGGGAGCTGCGTCAGTTTCAGTTCATGGCCTGGCCAGACCACGGGGTTCCCGAGTACCCCACCCCCATCCTGGCCTTCCTGCGGCGGGTCAAGGCCTGCAACCCGCTCGATGCAGGGCCCATGGTGGTGCACTGCAGGTGAGAAGGGGCTGCCACCAAGGGGTGGGGGGGCGGGAGGGGGGTTGGACCTCTGCCCCAAGCCAAGCCCTTGTCCTGCAGCGCGGGCGTGGGCCGCACGGGGTGCTTCATCGTGATCGATGCCATGCTGGAGCGGATGAAGCACGAGAAGACGGTGGACATCTACGGCCACGTGACGTGCATGCGCTCACAGCGGAACTATATGGTGCAGACCGAGGACCAGTATGTGTTCATCCACGAGGCGCTGCTGGAGGCCGCCACGTGTGGACACACAGAGGTGCCTGCCCGCAGCCTGTATGCCCATATCCAGAAGCTGGGCCAAGTGCCTCCTGGGGAGAGTGTGACCGCCATGGAGCTCGAGTTCAAGGTGGGCTCAGGGGCCTGGACTGGGTCATGGGGATGGTCCCCCCACCGCCAAGAAGCCAGGCCTAACCAGCCCATCCCTCTGTCTAGTTGCTGGCCAGCTCCAAGGCCCACACATCCCGCTTCATTAGCGCCAACCTGCCCTGCAACAAGTTCAAGAATCGCCTGGTGAACATCATGCCCTATGAGTTGACCCGTGTGTGTCTGCAGCCCATCCGTGGCGTGGAGGGCTCGGACTACATCAATGCCAGCTTCTTGGATGGCTATAGGTCAGCATGCCTGTGACTGCCCACCACGCTCTCCGGGGGCCTAGGCCTGCAGCTGGCTAGCTGGGGGCACAACAGAGTAGGGCCAGCCTAGAAGATCAGAGTGGGCTTCCCGGAGGAGGGGTAGGCGATCTGAGTGGGACTCCAAGGGATTAGGCAGTCTTGGGGAGACTCAGGGGGCAGCAGCACCTCCAGCATGTCCAGTCTTCTGTCCACCCCAGACAACAGAAGGCCTACATAGCCACACAGGGGCCTCTGGCAGAGAGCACCGAGGACTTCTGGCGCATGCTATGGGAGCACAACTCCACCATCATCGTCATGCTGACCAGGCTTCGGGAGATGGGCAGGGTGAGCGCCCCGCCCGCCGCCCAGGGCCCTTCCCACACCTGGGAGCACACCCACCACCCCTGCATGGCTCTCTCCCTTCACACCCAGCCTCCCCTCAGCAGAGCCTCAGACCCCCTTCTCACCACCTGCGGCGTCCTGCCCCAGACTCCTCTGAAACCTGGAGCTCTCCTCCCTACCTGCTCATGGGGGCCGGGCCCTTTGTCCACAGGAGAAATGCCACCAGTACTGGCCAGCAGAGCGCTCTGCTCGCTACCAGTACTTTGTCGTTGACCCGATGGCCGAGTACAACATGCCCCAGTACATCCTGCGTGAGTTCAAGGTCACGGACGCCCGGGTAAGTGGGGCGAGGGGGGTGCATATGCTTGCATGAAAGCGTGTCTCTAACGTTGCCCGAGTACGTGTGGGGTGGTGCCCTGGCTCAAGCTGCAGAAATCTGAGGTGAGGGTGTAGGTGGGGGGCATGAGCACCTTTCTCGGGGGCCTCGGGTGTCAGGATTTCATGGGTTGCGGACATGTGTTATTGCACTGCCCATCTGGCCTGGTAGGGCTGCAGCGTGAGGTACACGTGCTAACCGTGTTCCCGACCCGCCTCTTCCAGGATGGGCAGTCGAGGACGATCCGGCAGTTCCAGTTCACAGACTGGCCCGAGCAGGGTGTGCCCAAGACGGGTGAGGGCTTCATCGACTTCATCGGGCAGGTGCACAAGACCAAGGAGCAGTTCGGGCAGGACGGGCCCATCACGGTGCACTGCAGGTAGGGCTGACCCCGTGGAGGGCTGGGGGAGGGCGCGGGGCCCGTGGGCCTGGGGGGCAGGACCCCTGATCCAGTGCTGTCCCTGAGCAGCGCTGGCGTGGGCCGCACCGGCGTGTTTATCACTCTGAGCATCGTCCTGGAGCGGATGCGCTATGAGGGCGTGGTCGACATGTTCCAGACCGTGAAGACCCTGCGCACGCAGCGCCCGGCCATGGTGCAGACGGAGGTACGCGGGCCCGCCGGCTGGTGCGTGAGCCCAGCCCCTCACCGGCACAAGCTGCCAACATTTACCGTCGCTCTGCGTGAGGCGCAGAGCAACGACGAGTGGACATGCTCCCCATTCCGCAGCTCTGCACTGAGCACCGGCAGTGTGCCTGGTTCCCGGCTAGCGCTGGACAGCAGCCTTTATGGGGCGCAGATATAAACATGATGGGGGTGGCTGGGGGGAGGCAGGTAGGTGCAGGGCAGTGGGAGAGGGGGAGAGCTGAGCCTTCAGAGGCCCCTCCGGGTTCTCTGGACGCCGCCTGGGGCCGACATCTGGGGCTAGCACCTGCCCGGGGTCCCCCGCTGCGGCGGGAGTGCCCCCGGCCGGTGTGTCGGGAGCGTCCCCCCCCAGGCTGCGGCTCACCAGCCCCCTGTCCCGGCAGGACCAGTATCAGCTGTGTTATCGTGCGGCCCTGGAGTACCTTGGCAGCTTTGACCACTACGCAACGTAACCAGCGCTCCCCTCTCCTCCGCCGCCCCTGCCTGGGCTCCGGAGGGGACCCAGCTCCTCTGAGCCATACCGACCATCGTCTCGCCTCCTGCGGGGTCACAGCGTTCCAGGAACATGGCCACACCGAATGGAGAGCCCGGGACACCCCTGGGCGAGTGGGTGGGCCGGCAGGCAGGCGCCGTGGCCCGTCTCTGTCCACCAGGCCCACCCAGAGCCTGCTTCGAGCTCTCTGTTCCACTGCCGCGCTTCTCGTGCTTCTTCTCATGGGGTGGGGATGGGGGCGGACCTCCTTTTTTATACATCAAGTGGGGTAGACTGAGGGATTCTAGCCTCTTCCCTCTGATTTTCCTTTTGCAAATCCTTAATTGCAGAATGGGCCGCTGTGGGGGTTGGGGTTCAGTTGTTTTCTTTTTTGAGTTCACTTTGGATCCTTTTTTCTTTGTATGACTTTTGCTGCTGAAGGACAGAACATGCCTTCCTCCGTGCGGAGCTGGGGCCACCAGGCTGAGCGCAGGCCCAGCCGTGGGCCTGGGAGGCACCACTGATCTCGCTGCTCTTCCAGCCCTTCAGACGAGATCCTGTTTCAACCAAATGCGGGGAAACACGACTACTTTTTTTTTTTTTTTCTTTTTGAGTTTTGTTTTGTTTTTCCTTCAGAGCCTTATTTGAGGCGCCACAGACAGTGGTGGGCGGGGAGGAGATAGGAAACGCTCATCTCCAGTTGTCTGTTCCCATGTGTGTGTGTGTGAACATTCACAGCCCAGAACCACAGACGTGTCTCGGGGAGCCTGGCAAAGGCGTTCCTCATCACCATCGTGTTTGCAAAGGTTAAAAAATGCAAAGACAAAAAAACAAAACAAAACAAAAAAAATCAAAAAAAAAAAAAAACCCACCAAGAAAAAAAAAACAGAATCATCCCCCCTGGCCTCTGCTTCCAACCCCCAAGAGGGTAGGTGGTCCCTTGTGCCTGGGCTTCCCAGGGGAGCTGCCGGGCTGACCTCTGGGCCCACAGAGCCTTGCTTTCGTCCCCAGCATTGCGGTATGGCGTGGTGTTGGTAAGCTGTGGATCCGGCCGTGTGGCCTCGGTGATTGACACAGGTCAGGGTGTGTACCACGCCCCGCACACCTCAGGGCCGAGCAGGGGCACAGCTGGCCCTTCGGGTCCAGGCCAGTGGGCCTGGGAGCACACGTCTGTCCTCAGAGCAGGGGCCAGATGATTTCCCTCCCTGGTTTGCAGCTGTCTTCAAAGCCCCTGAGAGTCCCTCTTTTCCACTCCTTCAAGATGCCCTCATAAACCAATGTGGCAAGACTACTGGACTTCTCTCAATGGTACTATAATCAATCCTTATTCTCTCGGCTCGCTGAGGGGCAGGGAGAGGGCCTCTGGGCAGCACTATCTAGGTAGGTAAGTGGGGGCGGGGAAGGGTGCATAGCTGTTTTAGCCGAGGGACGTGGAGCAGACGTCCCCAGATCTAGCTAGGCTCAGTCAAGATCAACAATCCAGGGTTGGTAATGTTGGATGAAACATTCATTTTTACCTTGTGGATGCTAGTGCTGTAGAGTCCACTGTTGTACACAGTCTGTTTTCTATTTGTTAAGAGAACTACAGCATCGTTGCATAATTCTTGATGGTAATAAATTTGAATAATCAAGATTTCTTACAAACCGGGCCTCTGTCTCAGCTCTTTCTGGAACTAAAGAGTGGGCTCTGTCAGTTCAGTACCTAGGGGTAGATTCTGGAGATTTCCTGCTCCGAAGGGGACAGTGAGGCTGTCCTGAGTATGTGTGGCAGGTGGGGCTCCCAGCATGGTGCTCACTTTCTTTTTTTTTTTTTTTTTTTTAAAGATTTTATTTATTTATTTGACAGAGAAAGACACAGAGAGAGAAGGAACACAAGCAACAGGGGTGGGAGAGGGAGAAGCAGGCTTCCCGCTGAGCAGGGAGCCCGATGCGGGGCTCGATCCCAGGACCCCGGGGACCATGACCTGAGCTGAAGGCAGACGCTTAACGACTGAGCCACCCAGGTGCCCCTGGTGCTCACTTCCTGAAAGGAGCATTACGAACCCTGAAAACCAGACCCCAGTGTGTATCAAGAGCAACCCACCTGGGACCCCAGCTCCCCAGGCAAAGAGCAGGCGCTTTGCCACTCCTCACCCCACCCTCCCCTCCCCTTCCCTCGCCGCCTCCCCTGCTGGGAGGACAGAGATGGCACCTGCCGGTGGAGGCGGGGACGGGATGGAAATGGGTTAGTGAGGATTCTCGTCATCCCTGCGACATGGCTTCTGGACCCAGTGTGGCCGTCTGACCCCCAGACACACAGCAGCATGGGCTCAATCAGACCAGTCCTACCAGCTTGTTGAGCCGTGGAACTTCCCTGGGGCACAGAGACAAATAGGACCCAGAACAAGTGGGAGAGAGAAGTCAGCAGTGACCAGGTTGTTAGTGCTGTGACGAGCCCCGCACGGAGGGGCGGTGGGTACACTGAGGCAGCCCCGGACCCTGCAGCGGGATCAGCGCAGGCTTCCCAAGGAAGGGACATCCACTGGATTCTGAGCATTTCATAGGGGCGAGCAGTGATCACTTTTAAAAAGGGGGGGGGAAGCATTTCCAACAGAGGGAGCAACTTGTACAAAGGCTTGGAAGCCTGAAACGGATGGACAAATAGGAGGGACTGCGAGGGGTGCAGTTTGGGGGGCAGTGAGGAAGGCCGGCTGGAAGCAGCCAGATGGCGCAACTGAGGGGTTTCAGTTGACATGGAAGGGATGCAGTCCCGGGCAGGTGAAGTCCCTCCGTCACGTCCTGCTGCTCCCACCTCGGGCCTTGCCGCCGTCCAGTGTTGGCCGCTGTCTCCTTGGGGGCCATGAGTGACCAAGACCTGGGATTTGGGCTCCCCAGCACCTCGGTCAGTGCCTGGCCTATTTCTACCTGTTCAGAAAAATGACATCATCCTCGCATTACTCTTGATGGTATTAAATTTGAGTGATTGTTTACTAAATAAAAGAACGAACCGTCAAACATCTCCAAGTGAGGGAGAAATATCAGATTGTCACTTGAACAAGAGCATGAGAACTGCCAGGCAGGCTCTGCACAGAGTATTTTAGGTCATGATCACTAAGCCTCAGAAAAACCCCACTGAGCGGACCCTCTCCTCTCCACTTCACAGACGGACGGGACTGAGGCTTACGTGGATTCATTTGTCAAAGACCACAGGGCAGGTGAGTGCCAGAGCTGGGACCCACACGTGGTTATGTCCACCAGAGTCTCTGCCCTTCCCCTCGCCCCATGTCAACCCCCCTCCCCTGCCTTGTCCCCCCCCCAGTCCTCTGGACCCCCCATCACAGTGTGTAGCATCCCATCCACTCAGTTTCCTCCCTCACCCCACATTCAGCTAATCGGCAAACCCCGCCCCCTCGGCCTTCTTGCTCACCTGTTCGATTCTCTGCATTTCCCCTGCTGGTGCCCCCCATCACCCTCTCTTGTCTGGACTGCTGCCCTGCCTTCTACCTGGTCTGCCTGCCCCTAGCCCCGCCCTGGCCAACCCATTCTCAGCACAGCAGCCAGAAAGATTCTTCCTGGGGACAGGCGTGACCATGTCCCTGTCTTGACCAGACCCTGCCAAGCCCTCACAGTTGGCCCAAACTCCGTGGGTTTCCAAGGTGGCAGAACCCGGCCTCTGCAGCCTCCTTGCCCCTCGCCCCCTGCTCCCTGCCCTCTAGCCATGACATAGTCTACTCTGTCAGCTTTGTGCCTACCTCACCATTCCGCCTCTCAGCTCCATACCTTCCCACAAGCTGTTCTGGAACATTCTCCCCCACCTCTCTAGCTGGCTGAATCCTGCTCATTAGGTCTTCACTGAAATATTTCCTTCAGAAGCTATCCTTAAGCATCCTAAATGAGGCTAAGTGACCCTCCTGTGCAAGTAATTTGAATTTTTTTTCATGTAATCCTCACAATACTGTACAGTGTGGTCCTATTATGCCCATTTTGTAGATGAGAAAATTAGGTCTCATCCACTCATTCAACACATACTTAATGAGCATTGGCTATGTGCTAGTCACACCAGCGACCTGAACAAAGACTTCTGCCCTTGTAGTATTTATATCCGTAGGAGGAAACATGGAGCGTATGAAAAATAATAAATGTATATGTCGTTTGTTACTGGTAAGTGCCATGGGGAGGGGATTAGGAAAGGAAGGATCAGGCACGTGGAGAAGAGTGGTCAAAGCCTCACTGAAAAGACTGACTGTCGGGGCGCCTGGGTGGCTCAGTCATTAAGCATCTGCCTTCGGCTCAGGTCATGATCCCAGGGTCCTGGGATCGAGCCCCACATCGGGCTCCCTGCTCA